ATAGCACTCCCAACAAAAAGGTTAGCGGATCGCCCATGATTGGTGAGAAAATGCCTGAAAAAGTCAGGGAACTGAACGTCGTCGTTCATGCATGCTATTCGTACGTCCCAAAACCAATCGGCCTCTCGTACTATCAATTCATGGTCCCCCGAGCGCCACGGCGCACGTTCTATGGGACCCAATAATGTCAACCCCATGAGTGCTGCTGCAACGGGGGGTAATTTATGTTTCTGGAATCGGTGAACAAGGTACCGATCAAGGACCGACGTGTATCGAAAACATAAATCTGAACATTCTGAACTACACTAAACGATGGCCGTCAGAAGGCATGAGTGTCGTTAAACCAGGTAAATGAATATACTCACTCGGCTGTGGAAGCGGTCCCGCAATAGCCTAAAACCATCCCACCACGAGATGAAGCCAACGACATTGTCCGAACTATCCTTAAACGGTAGCAGGATTTCTGGATCGTATTCTTCCAGAACCTTATCCACAGGGCCAGGATCCAGTTGATCACCGCAAATATAATGAGTCAACCAATGTTCCTTGGTGTAATCCAATGCAACGGCTGTTCTTTTCCCGTTGGATCCACCATGAAAATCGGTGAGGGTTTGAAGACACATTCTGAGAAGGAGAGTGTGGGCTTTGGAACCGTCAGTGTACAGGTTACACGACCTACGTCGATCCATAAGAAAATCCCGAAGGGACGCATGGTAGAAATGAATAGGATTTTTATCAGAAACAGGGATGTGAACGATGGAGTGCAAGTCCCAAAAGGTCATTGTAATATCCTCGGGTTCGAGTCGGAGAAGCGCCTGGAGGAATTCAGGAGTCGGACTTTGTTTGCCATTTAGGTAGAAAATAGCCCCAAGTATAGATATAGCCCTCTCTGTTTCTTCGCCAGACTTCAAGACATGGCTATAGAGCTCGTCGAGTACAGCGAAAGGGTTAGTTGCAAAACTAGTAGACGAATCCACTGATTCACAGATATCAAGTATTAGCTGAAGCTGGGCGGTTGGAATTTTACGATCAACATCTGTGAACCTGATCACTGTCGCAGCAAAAATAAATTAGCCGGATGATTGTTGGACAAGGAAAGAAATAACATCTTCTTGAGGCCACGGCCGC